TATATGGAACTCAAAACAACTGTAAACCAACATCAAAGTCACAATCTTCAATACCAACGTCAAGGCAGTTCTACTGTATGGAGCTGAAACTTGGAGAACTACAACAACCATCATCAAGAATGTACAAGTATTTATAAATAGTTGTCTACGCAAGATACTCAACACCTATTAGTCGGATACCATCAGTAACAATCATCTGTGGGAGAGGACAAACCAACTTCTAGCTGAAGAGGAGATTAGGGAAAGACGATGGAAATGGATAGGATATACATTACACAAATCATCAAACTGCATCACAAGACAAGCTCTAACTTGGCATTTTGAAGGGAAAAGGAGAAGTGGAAGACCGAAGAACAAATTACGTCGGGAAATATAATCAGATATGAAATGGATGAATAATGACTGGAAAGGGCAGGAAAAGATTGTTCAGGAAGGGATTGGATGGAAAACGCTGATGTGCGGCCTATGCTCCTTCACGAGTAGTAACAGGCGTAAGTAAGTAAGTAAGTAAGTAAGTTAAATAAACTGGAAACAGAAAAATATTCGATTCCCATTTCTATGTTAAACGAAAGGTTAGAAATAAAATAATCTAAATATTACCATAGTTTAAATGTCTACTGATTATACAATAAATATATAAATGGGAATCTTTCATATAATCATTCTAATATATATATTTACACTACTTTTCTCTATTATATCAAAATATTGTACAGTTATGCAATAAAATTGTTGTTATGACAAGTTTTTTTTTAAAACAAATAATATATTATAATATATGTAATAATTTTTCATATAATTTACTGTAGTCAAGACAAAATACAATTTGGGTGGCTTTTATTAAACAATCAGATAACAATTTTATTTTAAAATAATGATAATCAATATCGATTTATTCACATTATATACAAAAAATACTTTTTTTTCCCCGATTAGATATTAATCGTGATGATTAAGCGGAGGGTGGGGGTTGACCGAAAAATCTTAAATAAACTGTCAAACAGAGGAATAATTTTATACTATGAAAAAAATGTCAATGATATTTATTTATCATATTCAGCTTATATATGTATATCATATCATTTAAATATCAATAAACTTCATCACTTAACGAATGAGATCATGATTGAAGATATATTGATGTTACACATTTGAAGTTTGATTCATTTATTGATTTTTTTGTGTGTGTGTGTGTGTCTTTTTTGGTCACCAATTCATTATTTTGAGTTCATACTTTTAAATTAGTAATCAGTCAATTGAGTGTTTACTCAATTACAGTTTCTTAAAAGTAGCATACTATTTAGTAGAACACACCATTTTTATAAACTTCATTGTCAACTATTCCAAGTGATTGGAGGTAGTTAGCAAGATACCTGAAACCTAGGTTTCATGCCAGTTAATACTTGTCAACATTATGTATATGAACTCTTGACTAATGGACATATTACAACATAACTGGTGAAATTCAATCGAGATGAATAGGTGCTAAACAAACATGGTATTAGTTATTAATAAGTTGAGGATAAGAGTGAAATCAATGTTGGCCCACCAACAATTGAAGAGATCAACATGACCATCAGATAAATCAAGATTGACAAAGCAGCAGGACCAGACAACATTCCAGCAGAGGCACTGAAATCAGACGTAGCGGTAACTGCAAGGATACTCCACATTCTCTTCAGCAAGATTTGGGATGAAAAGCAAGTACCAAAAGACTGGAAAGAAGGACTTCTGGTCAAAATACCAAAGAAAGGCGATCTCAGCAACTGTGACAGCTACAGGGGAATCACTCTTCTCTCAATACCAGGAAAAGTCTTCAACAGGGTATTGTTAGACAGGATGAAGGACTACGTAGACGCCCAACTTCGAAACCAACAGGCAGGATTCCGTAAGGATAGATCGCGTATAGACCAAATCGCAACTCTACGGATCATTGTGGAACAATCAATTGAATGGAATTCATTACTCTATATCAACTTCATTGACTATGAAAAAGCATTTGATAGCGTGGACAGAACAACACTATGGAAACTTCTTCGACACTACGGCGTGCCTCAGAAGATAGTCAATATCATACAGAATTCCTATGATGGATTAAACTGCAAAATCGTGCATGGAGGACAGTTGATAAAGTCGTTCGAAGTGAAGACTGGTGTCAGGTAAGGTTGCTTACTCTCACCCTTTCTCTTTCTCCTGGTGATCGACTGGATCATGAAGACGTCAACATCGGAAGGGAAGCACGGGATACAGTGGACATCCAGGATGCAGTTGAATGATCTACACTTCGCAGACGATCTGGCTCTTCTATCGCACACACAACAACAAAGGCCGGAGAAGACGACCAGTGTAGCAGCAGCCTAAGCAGCAGTAGGTCTCAATATACACAAAGGGAAAAGCGAGATTCTCCGATTCAACACAGCCTACACGAATCCAATCACAATTAACAGAGAAGATTTGGAAGATGTAAAACCTTTACATATTTGGGCAGCATCATCGATGAACACGGTGGATCTGATGTATGGGGCGGAAGATACACGTGTTTATTAACAGTGGCCTACGCAAAATACTTCGAATCCGTTGGCCGGACACTATTAGCAGCAACCTACTATGGGAGAGAACAAACCAGATTCCAGCAGAGGAGGAAATCAGGAAGAAGCGCTGGAAGTGGATAGGACACATTGAGGAAACCACCCAACTGAGTCACAATTCAGGCCCCCACATGGAATCCTGAAGGCCAAAGGAAAAAGGAAGACCAAAGAACACATTACGCCGAGAAATGGAGATAGACATGATAAAAATCAACAAGAATTGGATGGAAGTAGAAAAGAAGTCCCAGGACAGAGTGGGTTGGAGAATACTGGTCGGCAGTCTATGCTCCATTAGGAGTAACAGGCGTAAGTAAGTAACTACATGAGTTATCTAAAACATTTTGTTTCACTCTTCAATTAAACTATGAATATTCATTGCTAAAGGGTTCTATCCTAACTGAAGGGGTTTTGTAGTGATCGACGTAATCTTTAGATGGTATTTGTCACAGAATGTTGCCAGTTATTGTACCATATAAAACTAGAGAGCTATGAATATCTGTCCACAAATTTGACAAGAATCTACAATCTATGTTTTCTTTGTTGCTTCAGCATATCCGTGTCGCGTAATTGCGATAGTTAGTGTGTAGCAGTTATTTCATATTCAGTATTTCGCTCAAGTCACAATCTTAAAAAATCAGTCTACTTTTACTTCATTACAGCTTTATATAATGTTTATAATGTTTTTGCCATTTTTTTTGGTGTTGACAGTTAAAAATAATGACTCTGAAATTGTTACTACTGTCATTTAAATGAGTAAGGATTAAAAAGTCTAGAAAAAAAAGAGTGGTGAACGTCTTATACATGGTATATGATAAGTTCATCTGAACGCTAGTTGCTAAGATATTTTCTGAAGGTTTGTAGATCATTCCTACCTAACATTATAGGTCCAGAATACTGAAAAGTTTTAATTTGTAATTGATTGTACACATTAATAAAGGATCATGTTTATTAGATCCTTTCGAGCTGATCGGATTTAATTAATTAGGTTACATTGAGTTCACAGGTCTAATTGTCTCGACATCGTGCAATCTGAAATTTGATGTCAGGTGGTTGGAGGTAATCCCGAGAAATCCTTGTTCCAGGTTTCAGGATTGTTGGTACTATTCTCTTGAAGGAACTTCTAATCTTTATGAGATTGAAATTTAAACGATATAATCTAAACAGAGCTAAAGACTAGACAAACATTACATTGATTATTACTCAATAACTACTCAGTCATAGAGCAGGTTAGCCAGCCCCCTTGTATCTCAGTAATAGAATCGCCTACTAATAAAGTGGGTAACATAAGTTCAAATCCCACAAAGAGCTTTAATTCTTTGAAAATTACTGGTATTTCATACTGACCAGTGTCGACCACCAAGAACAACAAGTGACTGCCAGTTTATTTTCAGTAATTCTTACAGTTGATATCACTTGATGTGAAAACCAACTCTGAGTAATATAAATATCTTTAAAAAGTATTTTGGTAAGTGATATTGTTCAGATTTTTTAAATTAAGACATTATATTCTATTTATTAATATAAATCAGTCCATATAAATTTTGAATTTAAAGTCTTGCTTTTAAACTAACATTAACTAATCTGTCACGACAGTATAACATAAATACTTAAGAGCCTAAAAATTATTTTAAGCACTTTAAGAGTGTGTTTTTAAGCAAAAAGAAGATCCATTGAAGTCATAAAATCATCAATGTTCGACAAAAGTTGGAAACCTGGGAACAATAGATGGTCATTTCATCTCAGTAAAGGAATTCTCAGTGGTGTACACGCACGACCTCACAAGTGGCGAACGAACCTGCACATGAATCATTATATTCTAGATCTCTGAGTTGACATCCAATGGTGTTTATGTGTAACTTATATCAATCCATGAATTCCAGGGATTGTACACAGGAACTTGTGGTCTTGTGTTTATTCCTTAGATCGTTGAGTTACCATCTGATAAGTTAAATTTTCAATCCACAATGAAAAGAGACCATAATGACTATTTCAGTTTCAATACGTTGGACTTCGCCAGTCACGGTATTCTGTTGGATACAATCAGAAACATCCTGCTGTGGGAAAGAACAAACGAACTTCCGACCGGGGATGAAACTAGGAAAAGACAATGTAAGTGGATAGAACACACATTGAAGAAATCACCAAACTGCAACAATAACCAAACACTAACTCAGAATCCTGAATAAAAACGAAAAGAAAGGAAAACCAAAGAACACACAGCGTCGAGAATTAGATGCAAACATGAATAGGATGAATAGTAACTGGAAACAAATGGAAATGATTGTCAAGGATAGAGTTAGATGGAAAATTTTGTTGAACGGTCTATTCTCCTCCATGAGAATGAACTGGTTTAAGATCATTTATCTACAGTTAAGATTATACATTAATCTGACTACCCATCGAAATGACATGGTATTATTAGTTTTTTTTTCAATAATACATTCCAAAACATACATTGAATTACATCATTTTATTAAAAAAAATATTTTTACAAAATCTCTAAACTAAAAATAACACTTAAAGTACTCGCTGAAAGTACATTTATTATTGAATATGAATGTCATTTATTCTTATAAAATGTCGGTCATTTTGCACTTCTCTTATTCACTTATTTATATACATAATGACCTTTAATAAATTTGTCATAATCACAAAACCTCCAATTGATATTCTATAGTTACAACTTAAACCTTTATTTTTTTCAAAAAAAAAAAAAAGAAAAAAAAGAAATCTATTTCACTACTACATAAACATTGACTTATGAAAAAAAAATTTTTTTTCATGCATTGAAATTATGAACATGTACATGAAATAATATTGATTGTGATTATGTAACACATTTTGCTTAATCCCTTTCAGTGAAATAATAATAATAATAATAATAATAAGATAATGGCTAGTGATGTAATCATGAATTGTTACGATTTATACAATTTTGAACATTTACTAAATCTAAGAAATATAGACAGATAACTTAGACTATGAAATTGTATTATGTCAATTAGAATTTGTTTTAAGAGTATTAATTGTTTTCAAGATTATTGATGAGTTTGAACTAGTGTGAAGCCTAAACTAATCAAGGTTACCTATTGACTACATGAAACATCTTAATATTAAGAAATTCGAAATATTAGAATGTAATTCAGTGCCTTAAAAAAAAAGAAATTAAATATCTTCATTTGATGTTTTAAATGAATCTGTGGATGTGTGATGTTGAGATGTTGAAAAATTATTTGATAATTTTTAATCTGAATTGATATTACAGTTGAAGTTGGTTCTCGATGGAGACTTCCGCAAAACCATCCTTTTGTATATATATATATATATATATATATATATATATATATATATATATATATATATATATATATATATATATATATATAACGTCTATAATCAGCTTTATAATATATACGTTATTGTAAAATAACTGAAATTCGATTAACACAAATTAGTATAATAACCGTTTTCCCCTAGAAATCAATAGAAAACTAGGATTAAGGCATATATCTCATTCAAGGTAAAGTATTATTTTTAATTGAGATTATGAACCGATTGATGTTAGACCACCATTGAAAACCAGTAAGCACTGGACAGCCGTTTCGTCCTATTGTGAGAAAATTCTCGGAGTTCTGGTGAGAAGTCGTGACCAGTGGAGCTAATCCGTGTCGGGTAGAAACAGGTGTCTACCTCAGTACAATGGAAGATGGTCGCGCAACTTCGTGGATTTGTTGAGTTTAGATATTAACACCGTTGTATGCCGAGTAGGTAAAGCGCTCGCGCGCGAGACTGAAGTCCCTGGGTTCGAATCCCGCGAGCGGAATCGTGGATGCGCGCTGCTGAGGAGTCCCACAATAGGACGAAGCGGCCATCCAGTGCTTCCAGGTTTCCAATGGTGGTCTGACATCAATCGGTTCATGATCTCAATCACAAACTTGACAATCTCCACAACACCTAAATTGATAAAGTATTATTATTTAACTCAAGTGAAAATAGATATTATAGAACAAAAATATTTTTTAATGTTGCGGTTTGTGACGAATATTGAATTTTATTATTATTACGAATCAACAGTCCAATAGTTTTTACTGATTATCTGGCTTAGTAGGGTTTGTGATATCATTAACACTCAAAAATCATCACAAACAGTTATACTGATACTTTTTATGTGCTGATTAGTCAAATACTACATACGGGTGTTTCTGAAGCTTTTGTAAGAATCCTTGATCAATGGAATTTAACCGTGTCAGATAAAGAACAGTCACCTACAGAACACAATGGGAGTTGGCTGCATATTATAGCAAACTGATCAAAGTTAGACATGTAAAGATCGAGTGACGTCTCAGTGGTCTCAAGGTCAATTTATTACAGAAGATCTTATGTTCAATCCTTTTTATGACCATGAATGCTCACTGTTGACGAATCCCATACATTAATGAAACAAGTTTCTGATGGTTCCTTGGTTTTCATTAATGTTTACCTCAGTTTTACTTTGATTTTTATGTAAAATGCAAAATTAATCGTATTTATGTTTTACATATTTTGATAGTTTCAACCTTCATTAAAATGGGGTAATGATATACTCTCATAAATCATTGACAAATAATAACCATGAATTCAATAGTTTGCTTGACCATAAAGAGTTTAAGATTTATTTTAATCTAATTTATGTAGTGTTCTTCTAAATATACATTAGTCACTGCATGAAAGCAGTGCCCAAAAATAGATGAATACGAATACTTCTGATTTACAAAACATATCGAATAAAATATTCTATGTAAGTAAAAGTTTTTCTTCTTTCTCAAATTAGATTTTGTTTGTTGTAAATGTCAATAGAAAAATGACAATTACTTATGTAGACATAAGTAGTATATAATGTTAGTCGTGAACGGAATGTCTGGCAGCAGAGAGACAAGAGGATCGAACAGTAAATAATAAAGACAGAATGTAATCTGTATGAAAATGCAAGAACAAAGGAAGTCTGAGTCATTTGAGACAATTGATTGACGTTTTGTAAATTGAGCATTTACGATATGGTTGTTAGATTTCACTAACTAATTCTGTAATTTGTTGTCAAATACATTCGATTATTCCCCACCCGTGTTCTGTTCACTACAGGTTTATTATTATTTACTTTTTATTACAAGTTTCATTTGATCACATATATGGCAATCAGTAATCTTGCTGATTATTAACAGTATAAGATTTTAATCAATTGAAAAGAAATTTTCATCGATTATTACCATCCAAAGTTCTCCTCTGATGATTTAGCTTAGAAAAACGATGAATATTTCACAATTAAACTAATGAGTTCAGAGAATCCAGTTCTAATGTAATTATAATATGATATATAGAATATCATGCCATAAATTCGTGATCTCATTGAAAATTAAACTGAAAAAAGGATTTGATCATCTCTAAGGATAAGACAAGCATATTAACGGTCATTGATCAGTAAACAATCATAGTAATACATATTTATACCCTAAATGAATTCATGTTTTTTAAACAAGACTATGACACTGTACTTAATGATGTAATTCATACAAAAACTAACATTATTTCAAGAAAACTGATGTAATCAAAATGGTTTTCAATCTTATTTTAACTTATTCAAATTTTCAACTAAATCTAATTCTTCATTATGTATACGTATATATAACATATTATCATCTTAATATAAAACAATACATAACCTATACTTACCTTAAATATGAGGTAGATCGTTCATGTACAACAGAGAATTCAATTGCATCAAATAATTGAGTGATTACACCACCACTTCGTAATGTTTTTTCACCCATATAACGTAACAATTCAATATTCATAACTCGATATCTACTATTATTATTAATATTATTACTGGTACTACTATCAATAAATCGATCAGATATCTTTTTACCTGTTGTCAATGAAATTGACATTTGAGCACAAAATATCATCATAATACATAAACATATAAATGATTTATTATAAATTGTATTAGTATTAGTAATAGTAGTAGTAGTAGTAGTAGTAGTCGTCGTTTTATTAGTAGTATTGTAAACTGAATAAACATTTTTTTGTTTGATAAATTTATTATTTTTTATTAAATAACATTGTTTCTTAGAAATATTCTTTGATTTCCATAATAACAGTAATGATGATAATGACGATGTTGATGACAAGGAGGATGATGATGATGACAATGATGATGATGATGTGATGGTTTTTCTATGAATAATTTTTTGAAAAAATGATTTTAAATAAAATTTTTGATAATTAATTAAATAATAATGATAATAATAATCATTTATATAATGAATAATAAATGGAATAATTGAATAATTTGTATAATTTAATTTAATTGTAACACACTGATCACACATATGTTATACAATATTACTATATTGCATAAGTTCAACGTATTATATAATAACAATAATAATATTAATAATAATAATTGATAATAATGTTTAATATATTTAATACTATTAATAGAATAAATCAATAAAAGATAATGACGTAATTGTTTTCTAATTAGTTTATTAAAATAATTCAATATTTTTTCAAATAATGTTATGTACATTTTTTTCCTTCGTTTTTCTTTTTTTAAATTATTGATCTAGTTCTATTTGTTTTGTTTTGTTTCGTTTGTTCATTTTCGTATCGATTTTTTCCCATGTTATCATTATTTATGTTAATATTCGTTTTAAAAGCAACGCGGAAAAATTTCATTTCAATGTCCAATGTGTTCAATATTTGTTTTTAAAAATATATTTAAAATTCAATTTAATGAATGTTTGATAATAGATGAGAGCACAGAAAAAAAAGATGATGATAAATAATTTTCTCTTTTTTTTGAAAAAAAAAATTTTTATTTATTATATTCCATAGTGATTAATATATTTATTATAAATAAATAATTAAATAAATAAATAAACATTATTTATTATGATGGTATATTGTGAAGTTATGTAATCACTTTCATTATTATTATTATTATTGTTATTTCTAAGATTGAATGAATATTTATATATGAGATAATAGATGATTATGCGTTGTTGTTGTTGTTGTCAATTAATTGTTTTCACTTTCTAACTAATTTGTATTCGTTTATGCATTTATGCATTTATATATTACAAACATACAAATCTGTATACATATATACACATATACATGCATGTATATCTGTCTGCATATATATATATATATATATATATATATATATATATATTTATATATATGTATATTTATTTATGTAATTGGTCATGGATACAAGAGGGATATTAGAGAATGAATAGTATTCACATTGATGTTTAATAACACATTTCTAGGTATAGTTTCATATGTCTATGTCTCTATTACCGCCATTTGTTGAAATCATAAACTAGTCGGGTCTGTCCGTATTTTAGTTGTGTGTTTTTTTACAGTTATATATAAAATGTATTTTGCTTACTTCTAATATACAGTTTGTGTAAATTGTATACAATTTTCACAATTGTTTACGTGTACAATATGTCTTCTATTCTCTAACCTTATTTCAATCCATTATCACAATTATTTTAAGATTTATATCTTATCACTTCTTTTAATCTAAACTAATTTTGTCTGTAGATGCGAATTCTAGAAGGAAGTAAATTTATTTATTTATTTGTTCATTTGAAGCTCGTCACACCATAGATTACTTTTGGAATCAGTTGAATATAAGAAATTTAATTGTTTGAGTTAGTTATTGTTAAATAGATGTATTCATATTCTCTGTAGCCATTCTTTCATTCATAGATGAATCGACTAGGAACGGAATAAATTTTCACAGTTTTCATTATTAAATTGATGAATCAGAATGTCTAACGCTTATCGATTACAACAATTAGTGTTTACCATAGATTACAGATTTTTCTTTGTAAAAGTTTGTGTTTTCTTATGGAAAGGTACATGGCTCAAGTTTTTATGTGAAGATCAATAAAGAAATGTTGGTACATCCAGCTGAAAAAGTATCAAATAGAATGAAAAGCACATCCTGGATTTGATTGCCATCTGTAATCCGACTTTATTAAGAAGTAGGTGTTTTTGACAGAAGTTTTTGTAATTCTGAACCAAACAATTTTTTAATGAATATGTGCAAAGTAATTTGTTTACCAATAGAAGATAAAACGTTTTATACCTCAAATCTCGACTAATAATATAATAAAGTCCTTATTTAATTGATATCATGAATAGATCAATGTTAGACCGAAATTGAAAACCTGGGAGTACTGGATGGCCATTTCGTTCAAGTATAGAACTCCCCAGAAGTGCTCATCCACAATCATACACCAAGGGACTCGAACGCAGGACCTTAGGTCTTGCACGCGAACGCCGGAAACAAACGGTGTTCATGTCTAACTTCAACCAATCCACGATATTTGCGCAACCGTCCACCATTGTCTTCGGTGAGCAATTGCCTCACAACAGACACGGTTGAACTCCACTGGTCACGGTATCTCATTAGAACTCCAGGAAATCCATTCTGAAGCCAGTCATCAATGAGCACATGATAATTATCTGTATAAGGTTGTGGGGATTGCTGAGTTTAGATCAATATCATAACCCTATACTGATCCTTATTTAATACCAATTAGTGAATAACTGTTTCACTATCACCGTAGGTAACTCTACATAGATCACGTCTTCTCTATAGAATCTTGAATACAAATCCATTTCACACTAGCAGAGAAAAACATATTTCAAACTATTCAGTGTTTTGTGATCTTTACTAAATCTCCATTAGATGATCATTTTTACATAGAAGATAATTTCCAATTGTATAAAATCACTACATTCACAATTTATTTTCTTTTTAATCTACGTTTGATTCATCTTAATTTCGTAATTAATTTAATATTTATTGTTATTGTACAAGTGCACTATGATAGTAGTGATGCTTTATTCTCTTTCCTGTTTTACATTTTTTCTTAAAATAACTTAATTACACCTGTTACCTCTCATAGAAAGGGAAAAGTCGCTCACCAGCAGTCTCCATCCAACGCTATCGTCGGCAATCGTTTCCAGTTCTTTCCAGTTACTAATCATCATTTTTATTTCTGCGTCCAATTCTCCACTCAGTTTGCTCTTTAGTCTCCCTTTTTTCCGTTTCCATTCAGGACTCTGAGTTAGCGCTTGGTTAGTGATGCAGTTTGAGGATCTCCTCAATGTGTGTCCTATCCCCTTCCATCGTCTTTTCCTAATCTCCTCCTCAATTGGGGGAAGGTTTGTTTTCTCCCATAGTGAGCTGTTGCTGAGGATATCTGGTCAACGGAAATAGAGTATCTTGCATAGACAATTGTTTATAAATACGTGTACATTTTTGATGATGTTTATGGTAGTTCTTGAAGCTTCAACTCTGTACAGTAGAAGTGGCTTTCTTGATGTTCGTCTTGAAGACTCTGAATTCGGTGTTGGTCGACTACTGTTTAAAGTTCCATATTTTCTTCAACTATAGAAATGCGACCCTTGCTTTGCCAATCCTCGCCTTTACGTCTGCATCGGATCCCCAATGTTCATCGATGATGCTTTCCAGGTATGTGATACTTTCCACATCTTCCAGAGTTTCACCATCAAGTGTGATTGGGTTGGTGTTCGCCGTGTTGTATTTTAGGATGTTGCTTTTTCCCCTGTGTACGTTGAGGCCTACTGATGCAGATAGAGAATACTGATAAACTAGTTGTCTTCATCTGCATTTGTTCGTGTGTATTGAATAGGAGGGCTGGGTCATCTGCAAAGTCCAAATCGTCTAATTGGTTCTGAGCTGTCCATTATATTCCGTGTTTTCCCTCAGATGTCGAGGTCATCATAATCCAGTCAACCACCAGAAGAGAAAGAAAGGGAGAAAGTAAGCAGCTTTGTCTTACTCCGGTTTTTACTTGGAATGTATCTGCCAGCTGTCTTCCCTGCACTACTTTGCAGTGTAGTACATTCTATGAATTCCGTATGATAGTCACGAGTTTCTCAGATAAACCATAGTGAATGAGAAGAATTAGTAGAGAGTTATTGAATACAATTTGTATTTTAATCGATGTTTTGAGTAGACTAATCTAATTAGCTTAAAATTTTCAATGAGAAATACATAACTAATTAAGAATTTTTCAACGAAATTTTACGGTGATTATTTCTTTGGATCAAATCCATGAGTTCAATACAAGATAGTGTTGAAATTTGTTAAGAATTTTATTGTCAGTTTATAATCATACACCCTTTGTACTGTAAGCATTAATTCAGTTCGAAACGAGTCACCTACTTTTATATTTCTTGCTTAAACATGTGAATCTCGAATATTAATTTCAATATCTAGATGTACTCCATTTACTTAAATATTAGTACCTAGACAGTAGTGTTAAAGTCTAGCAACTGAATTTACCGTACTACATTGTACAATGAATATTTAGGAAAGGTTATTAAAATTTGTTTCCAAATATTTAGTTTAGAATCAATATAGAAAGATAATGGAGATTGTTGAACTTTATAGTTTACATCAAAGAATGGTCTTATTTCGACAACCATTAAAAACTAAGAAATATTGGACAGTTACTTCATCCGAATACGGCACTCCTTGATGGTGAATATTCACGAGCTCACTGAAAATCGAATCAAATTAGACATACAATGTTAGGTCCAAAGTCAGTGGTCTGAAGTTTAAGTACTTGATGCTGGTCCTGAAGATTTGATGTACAATCCCTGGTGAGTTTGTATATGTACACTACTGAGGAGTCCTATACTAAGATAAAACATATATCCAGTCCTTTATAGTATTTTAGCTCTCTAATTACAGTCAATCCATGACTTAGATTATTTAAATTTAATATCTGATATAAGTAATCACTAACTTGTTTAGGAAAATAAATGATAATGTTATGTAATTTAATGTAGGTAAACATTTACTGCGTACTAAAGAAAATCTCGATTAATGAGTAGGAGAAAGCTAAAAGACAAATTCATACAAAGTATTTCGAAGATCTCTTTCAAATATTTGTGGTATAATAAGAATAGAAAAGACGACATCATTTCAGTCAACATTTTTTCGAATGAATTTTTTACGAATTTTAGCAAGGGTGGTAGCCTCGAACTTCGTTCAAGGCGACAATTATATTCTCTGTACCAACTCAGTAAAATATGTTTATTGTGCGTGTATTTTCACAGTAACTCTAGATAGAATAGTTGGAATGTCGATAGCAATGAAATCTTTGATGCTAGCTTTGCCCGATTTGCGACTCATTAGCTGAATGTATCTGACCATTCTAACTTTAATTAAGCAATTCTAGATATTGCCTACCTACATGTGATATTATTGTATGTAAATATTAGTACTCAAATGACTGTATTTTGGTCTAATGGTGACATGAATTTGGAA